CACACACACACAGGGTGTCCGATACTAAATAAAGCACTCATGAGCAAGTAGAGCAGACTAAATTGAGTCGAAAAGTTCTCTACCATTTTGTAATTTTCTCAATAGTTTACGAAAAATTAATTACTAAAGATCGCCGAATAAGCGCGGCCCATCGTCAAATGCAATCGTGTCCCCAATGCAACAAGTCCCTGTTGCCTAGCAACGTCGAACGCTGGGTGGTCGTATGCATTTGGCGATGAGCTGTGAGATCGCTTATTCGGTGATCTTTAGTAATTAATATCTCGTAAACTATTGAGAAAATTGCAAAATAATATAGGACTTTGATTCAATTTAGTCTGCTCTACCTGCCCACAAGCACTTTATCATTCAGTACCTAACACCCTCCGTTGGGAGAGAGGGAGAAGGGGAGAGAGATACACGCGCACATATACACAAACAAAATGTTATGTGTGCTTTTGAATGCGTGCGTGCGTGTGCATGTGATTACGTGTGTATGTATACACACATAATATATATACATATAAATGTCTCAGTGTAAAACAATTTGCAAACATCTCCATTTTATGTTAAAAAACTTTTATGATATCGAATAGCACAGAGAAACACGGAACACAAAGATAAAACAGTACTTTCATTGCAGTGATATCATAGTACATACATGCGGCAAAGTAAACATTGTATTTGTAGGATAGTAAAGTATAATATGGGGTTTTATATTTTCCAATCAATAATAAGCTTTGGTAAAAAAAAAAATCTTATTCCATGCATACAAAGTCCAAGGTGATGATACGAGGTACGATACGATCGTTACACATCGGATGCATTTGTAAGGTAAATTAGATCCATCCAATTAAAGTATAAAGTTTATATATACTAGTAGTATTGTGGTATAATATATAATATATAAAGAATACTGCAATATTATTTATCGAAACAAAAATTTCTTAATTTTTATTTTACTTCAAAATTGTTGTGAGAACTGTTGTATGGATGAAATGAATATGAAATATTCTTAAATGAATTATGCTGTCCGAGTTATATCTATCACATTCATTATACGATCGTAACGTGTGTTTTATAAATTATAATGTACCAATGTGCGCTGCAGATTAAAAATCTGGAATAGCTCCAATTCAACTATAAATTATAATATAAAAATTTTGATTGACGAATAATTGACAGAAAAATCCTATCAAACACAATAAATCATTGTTGGCAATGAACATGCCACGCGGATTATCCATTTTATGTATATGCCTTTATTATCAATTTATATACGATAACCTTTTAATATGCGTTAGGGCATCCAACCAATTTCGCTGTGTTGCATCACGTGGACTGTGTATGCTTATTTATAGATAAATAAGTGCACTCTAATGAAACACTTATAATTTCTGAACCTATAAAGCTTAAAATACAATGTTGTTGAACGGAGTATCAATTTGCCTTCTATTATTAAACCCGTTCCTATTGGAGTAGTTGCAGGTAATCCTAAGATATGCAATACCTAGTTGTGACGCTGTAACGCTTGGAGTAAAAATTTAAACCCAACGTACTACTATTTAGATGATATAGGTTTTGTGAAGTAAATAATAACTGAAATTCTCACATGAAGTCCATTTGCGATTCCTGCAATGAAAATGAACGTGGTTCTTTAATTTTTTTTCTATATTCCTTTCTTTCTTTTTTTTTCTTGTTTTATAAAGAATTAACAAAGAAAAAGATGAAAAATGACGTATCGATGATGTTTTATTTTGATTTCATATATTTGGAATATGCTGGAATATGTCATAAATGTTATATTCGTAAGTTTGTATTTAGTTGTCAAGTTTATCGTATAATCCCATTAATATCGCTTTTAATATGCAATAAACGTAAAATTATAACTTTTTACAAATCAGTCTATTTTCGAAACATAATCCTATGATAAATCCTCTTATTAGAAATATCAATATCTATAATCCTCATGACAAGTTTTTGTGCCAGGTATTAAAAAATATGTTACGATATATAGTACAATATACGTTACGAGTCATTTTTTTTTTTTATTATTCTCAGAGTCAACTCAATTTCCTCATCAGTCAGACGAGTGACAAAGAGTGGTAGCTCAAAAACAAAATTCCAAAAAACAATCTTAATTGCAATCCCTAATTCAGTGGAATTTCGCAATTATGAGTCGAATAAATTATACCGGGTATATAAAATATTATATTAAAATTACTATCACATTCTATTATAGAACTTTTTCCCTATTATAGAAAGTTGTCATGCTACAAAACGTGGGCAATTCTTCAACTAGATTTCAATTAATGGCAAGACCTAATTATTCTCAATTCACTGTCATGATCGAACCTAAAACACAAACAGGCAGTATTTCTCCAGGAATGTATATAAAATTGATTATTTATTTTCGTTGCGACATCTTGGACGAACCTGAAGAAACGTTAGTAATAAATGTGCAGCAAGGACGTTCGGTAATTGTTAAATTACGCGGATATCGAGACCCACCATTGTTGAGAGGTAAATGAGGTTTACAAATGATAAACTCATCGGAACACGTACAAATTGCCCGTGATTGAAAATATATGTAAAACGTATAAAATGTAGAAGATAAAATTATAATACGATATCGCAAAGAGAAAGGATTAAATCTTTCATTGTTTTTACAGTGATTAATCTCCCCTATTTCCGATATTCACTAAAAAAACTGCAAATGATGGTAAAAAACACAGAATGGATTATGGAAACTCCATATCAACAAACGGATTCTTACGAGGAGGTACAGTTCTATTTTCTAATTTTTAATAAAATTCGAAATAATCACGCAGTGGCTTATTTTAAGATATCATTTGCAAATGGAAACTCCCAGTCTACCGATACAAATAGAAGTACAGCAAACACATCTACAGAAAGCGTGACAAGTTATAGAAAATTAAAGAGCTTTGATTGCGGGAAATGTCTCGTAGGTGACCAAATTACTTTAACCGTGATGATTAAAAATGTCGGCGGTGAGGGAAGATTCTTCATTATAAGCGAGATGGATTGGTGTTCGATGCACATCGAGGTAACAGTACTAAAAAATAAAACTATCATCGACAATAATTACACAAGTATATGTATATTCCTATTTCACTTTAGGATATTACTAATAATAATATGTTGATTTTGCCATCTTTCGCCATGTGGCCTGTGTATTTTACCCTCAAACCGCAAGAGCATATATATCTGTACCTCTACTTCTTTCCTGATGCTCATGGAATGCATGTAAATTATAATTTACAAAAGGAACCAACTTTTTTCATACCTTTCTATTAGAAAATTCTCCCTCTTTTTCTTCTAAGTATCTTTCCTTTTTTCTAAAATTAGGTAGAAACATTATATGCCATTTGCAACAACTGTTCCGTGATCACAACAGAGATTATTGGAGATGGAGTTGTGTATGAACAATAATAAAATAAAAGGTAAACTTTCACAGAAATGTACCGTCTTGCTGTGTATTCATGTAGACACTAATAAAAAAGAATTATAAACACTAAGAAAAGTTCTCTCGTGAAAAGGTCTACTTTCTCTTTTTTTTTCTTTTAAAAATAAAATTTTTCTTTTCTTTACTATCGGAAAAAAGATGAATAAATATTTTTCACAGTAGATTCCATAGACAGGAATTTATAAATTTATTGAATCAGTAAAGATTACTTTTTATTAAAGTAAAATATTATTGTAGTACACAATCGATTGATAGATTTTACACCTCAGGAACATTTTTTCAAACATGCGATAAAAAATCCAATAGAATCACTTTCAAGACCAAATCTACAGACGTTTTTCGCATTTTCATTCGTTAAACCGTCTATGATGTATCCTCGAGTGCCATATTTGTCTGTTTGTATTTGATCATTAACAGACTGCAATTGCAACTTTGGAAATTGTTTCAATGCCCAAGCGATAATACCTTCGTTCTCTGCTATTGTGACAGTACATGTACTATACACCAATGTCCCTTTTGGTTTCAAAAGACGTACGGCCTATATAAAAATAATTGCGTTTCTTAAAGTTTAATCTATGTGTATGTATATATATATATATATATATATATATATTAAAATGTTTGTCATTCAGTTTTGAATCAAGTGTTTTTATGTTAAAAAGGAAAGGCAAATTAACATGGCTAGAGAAGTGTTATTCCACGATGGAGAAGTAAACTTGAACAAAGATATAAAAAAAAAAGCTATAATTTCTTGACAAACCTGAAATTCAATTTAAATGTAATAATCTAAACATGCAAGACAAATGGACTGATAGTAGGTATAAAAATTCAGCGTAAAGTATTCAGTTTACATTACAGAACTCGACGATTTTTATAGTCTGACTGCAATAGAGGAAACAGATTCTACAGGTTCAATATTAAATGATTTAAATTGCTTATCTAAGTCAGAAGATGATTTGGATACTGATATTATTATAGAGGCTCAGAGAGAAAAAAAATGGAAAGAATATAAACATAGTGATGAATATTCTATAAATAAATAGCAGAATTTAATTCGCCAGATGGAGTAACAGCGAGAATTAAGGCAAAAGATAAAATTCAAATTGCGTCTAATAAAGAAAATATTGAATCCAAACTGTCAAACGTCATCTCTGGCTGCCATGAATCATAGCTTTATATCAAAGATCGTTATTAAGCCAGAAAAGTGTATTTCATGTGATAAAAGGTAATATTTTGATTGGTTCGAAAGATTGATGACAGTGTTACATAACAAGGATATAATTCAATTTGGATCAAGTCACGTTGTAACGAAATTATATATCATTTTCCTTCCGTTTAATATCAGAATCAGGTTTGAAAAGATAGCACTGAAATGTAGAGATTGTCTTGTTATATGTCACACAGAATGCAAGATTCAATTCAGATTACTTCAGTTCCATGTGTATGCGGAAAATCAGCAATGATATTTGGTAGGTCTGTAAGTAATGACACAACTTTTTACTTGCAATTGTATTTCACAAGTATTTCAGATTGTCACAAAGTAAACTATAGGGATGCTTGCTACTTAACGATGGACTAATTTGGGAATATAAAAAGCAATCTATCACGATCAAATTTAATTAAAACCTTTATTAATTAACTTAATTGTTTTAATTAATTAATTTTTGTAAACACAATTATTGAAAGATATCTAATTAAAAATTGGCTATTACAATGGAGATATTAAATAAATTTAGCACTCGTATGTATATACATGATCGTTGCTTAATTTCTCTCGTTACGCGCATTACGTCTATTATGCAACTATAACTAGATTAACTGAGAAATAAATTGAAATGAAAACTTTACCCCACTTCATATATAGTTCGCGCTATTTATAACACTACTACGAAATAGCGATATTCAGTAAAAAAAAGTAAGGAATTCCTTTTGCAAGACCAAAGTTTCCTCTTGTTCTGACGACCTAACCTATTCCACAAACTTATAGACAATATGTATATAGATATGCGCAACACATAACTTAAGAGAAACCGGAGGAACTACTTGGAACTACTCTGAGTCAGGGTGCCAGAGTGCATGAAAAGCGCGGAAAGGCGGAGGATAAAATTAACTAGACTTTACTAGATTCCCACGATTCCACGCGCCAATCAGAACTTGCGCTGGTAGTCGTCGACGACAGTTTTTGCTTTCTCTGCTCTAGAGTAGAGTCCTAGATTATCAGAGAAGCGCGACCGGCTTATGGCAGTATCGCAAAAGTACTAGAAAATATTAAAAATGGCGTCGAATGGCCAATCATAAGATTGATTTATTCGGCAGCCATTTATA